GTCTCAAAAATGAGGTGAAAACAATTGAGAAAGACACCCAACAGGAAACTCTGGCATCTACATGTATACAGGATCCTATGTATAACATGCACACAGACTCATGCATGCAAAAAAAAAGGAAGAAAAATATCCACTTTCTGACTGAAAGAGACAGTGTGATCAAGATGAAGAGCTTAGGAGGGAAAGCCAGAGCAAACCCAGGACCATCTGCTTTCTGATGTGCAGATGAGGAAATACCCACTGATCACAAATACAAATAAACAACTCACATTCACATAATATCAAGCAGGCTCTAAAGACATCACTAGAAGGACAATTTCAGCCCAAAGAGGTTAACTGCACCAAAGAGGACACGAGGAATAATACTCACAGAACATTTAACCAAAAGAAGTCTGAAACAAGCAAACACCAATAATATCACAACAACAAATACGAGGACTTACTAAGTATTGCTCAATAATAACTCTCAGTATTAATGGCCTCAATTCCCCAATAAAAAGACATGGACTAACAGATGAGATTATAAAGCAGGATCCATCTTCCTGGTGCCTCCAATAAACACACATCACCATCACAGAGAGACATAACCTATGATAAAAGGATGCAAATGGCATCCCAAGCAAATGGATGCAGGAAGCAAGCAGGAGTTGCTATTTTACTATCTGACAAAAGAGACTTCGAACCAAAACTATTAGAAGAGATATGGAAGGATACTACAAGTTCATTAAAGGAAATATTATATTTACGTACAAAAACAGTGTACCCAAGTTCATAAAGGAAATACTACTGCAGCTAAAATCACATATTGAACTACACACAGTAATAGTGACTTCAATTCTCCATAACCAATAGACAGGTCATCAAGATAAAAACTAAACAGAAAAATTCAGGAGTAATTAAAATGGACCTACCATATATCTATGAAGACCTCCACCCAAGGAATACACTATTTTTCTCAGAAGCCCATCGTACTATATTCCAAATTTACCACATTTTGGACACAGAGCAAGTCTCAACAGATATAAGAAAACTGAAAAAAAAAAAAACAAAAAACCAACACCCTGCACCTTATCTTCCCACCATGATTGAAAGCTAGATACCAACTACAATAGAAATGATAGAAAGTGCACAAACTCATGGAACCTAAATAACTCACTACTGAATTAAAGTTGGGTCAAGACAGACATCAAGAAGGAAATTCAAAAAAACTTCTTTGAACCAAATAAAAACACAATATAACAAAATCTGTGGTACACAGTGAAGGCAGTTCCTAGAGAAAGGTTCATAGCACTAAATGCCTAATTAAAAATAAAATGAATAAAACAAAAACACAACTGGTAGATCTCATGCAAATAAGTTAATGATACATTGAAAGCTTAAAAAATATAAGAAGAAATAACACCCAAAAAGAGTCAAAGGGAAGAAATAATAAAACTCAAAGCTGACATCTGTGAAATAGAAAAAAAAAATAACATACATAGAATCAATGAAAAAAATTGGTTTGGTAAGTTGCCTTGGTGAGTTTTCTTTCCTTATACCTTGTTATTTCCTGGTCTGGATTGAGAACACAAGCACTGTATTATTTTCTGACACATATTTTTGTCCAGAGTGAAAGGATATTAGATTTTTATAATCCGTGTCTCTTAATAATTAAGCAAGATGTTGCAATAAAAAGGTTTCTGTGTGTTTGCTGAGATAGAAAAACATACATGATTTACTGGTGATAAACTATAAGGCTCCTTATGTACTTACATTCTTCCTTTTGTCTTTGGAGAGATACAGAAAAGCTTTGTCACAATTTTATAGCTAGGAAACTGAAAATTCAAAGACATGGAAAATATATTCTAAGGCAATGTTAATCAACACCTAGAAATACAATGGTCCTGTATTTAGTTTTGTTAGTATCAGTGCTGGTGATTAAATTCAGGGTCTCATGCTGGCTAGGCAAATACTCTACCACTGAACCACACGCCCAGCCCAACAATAGTGAAATTGAAATATAATTTATGTATCTAAAAACTCACTATTTCACATCTCTTAGAAAAAAGTTACATATTTAAAAAAAACACAAACATTCTTCTAGGGTAATTAAATGCTTACAGATTTCAATTCTCTCTCAATCAAAATGTTAAATTTCAAAATCCATTATAGTTCTCATCCACCATCTGTTTAATGATAAAATATCTGTGAATAAAATTTTGTGAATTGATTATTTTTAGATTTAAAATACATACTAGTTGCTTGAAATGAAAATTTGGAAAGGAGATTGGCTCCAAAAATGGTAGAAAGGTTTATACACATTATTCATGATTAACTACAAGCATTAAGTTTTCATACTTTTTAAGATCCCACAAAAACTTCTTGGAAAACGATGACTATTGTCAATTTTAAAACAATGTGCTTAATATGGTAACTGGTTTTATAGACATAAGTCTTATAAAATTATCAAATGACCATGAACAGCATCTGAAAGAACCAAAACTTTACAGGAGAATACTGAATGGGATTTCTATATATTGTAATTACATCAGTAACATTTTATCTCACTTGTTAGAAGAATAAATCTCAGAAATATATTCAGATGAATAATCTCAAGATAATCACCATTTTGGCAGATTTCTAGAAGAATGCAGAAACTCAGTTCAGGAGTGTTTGTGCTCCAAAGGCAAAAATGGACAAAAGAGACAGACAGGGTTCTTTAAAACAGGAGAGATCCTTTGTCATGGCATTTTAACACATGTGTTTAGGGAATAAAGATACCAGGGTTCTAAAAATATTACACACCTTTTATATCTTGGAAAGTATTTTTTTCTATCACAAAGTCTTCATCTACAAAATGAAAACCTAAGCCATAACTCATAAGATAGTTACAGTACATTCTATAATTTAGGTGAACTGTTTGGTGTTATAGCTAGCTTATGGGAATTGCTCAGTAAATATTATCTTTAATAATCATTAAAGTAATATAATTTAGACATTATAATGTACAGTATTACAGATCCCTACTTCTAGTGGTTGAGAAGATCCATTCAAGTCTTAAAGGTATTATCATCTTCAAATCACAAAAATCTATAAGCCTAGAACTTATATAAGTCTACATTTAACAATCCAACTATACCTAAACTTCAGGTAATTATCTTAGCAGGCTGTATTCACAAAACCTAACTGGTATGAAAAGTGAGCATTTATGTTCTTATGTGAAAATGTTAGGATAATGTATTATTTTTCATATATTGTAATTATATAGTGCATATACAATAGGTACATATCCTGGCACAAAAATATGATCATGACAAGAATGTAGATTTGTATGTTACCTAACTGCAGGTACATACATTCTAAGAGGTGCACAGTCAGATGAGCTTTATTTTTGTGCAAACAATATTGTATTTACTTACACAACTGAGATAATCACAGCATGAAGCTATATAATCTTATGGCATTGCTGCCATATTTGTGGTTGACTGTTGACTGTAATATCATAGACTGTGTATGATAACATCATGTACAAATACATGTTCTAAAGAAAATGGGCGTAAGATGTATTCTATACTTGGTAGGATGGAGTATTTATATGTGATAAGGTTGATGGTACTGTCAAAACAACAACAATACAGCAGAAATGTAACAGGAGTTGTATGTATCCTTTCACTATCTACACATTGGACACAGATGGAATGATTACTACCCCATGGGCACTGCCTTTACGTGAAGGTGTCTGCCTTGGAGGAATTCTCTATGGACCAGTGGAAGCAATAAAGAGTGGATAGACAAATGAGTTCTTTCCTCTATTGGTTGTCTTGGTCACAGTGTCTTGTCATAGCAATGAAAATGTAACTAAGACACATACATAACTTACATAAGGCTTTGCACATAGAAAACAACACCCTGCCCAAGATGTTAACCTGGTTCATAAACACAGAGTTCAAAGACTTCTACCAAAAACTGATTACAATGAAATAAGAAAAGAACAGTATTAGGAGCCTACTGATACTATGTAGTTCAATTCTCACTTTGGAGCTGGGAGAAAAAGAGCCAACCAAACTCACAATGTACCTTTCAGAATAAAGTGTCTATAGAGCCTAATAAGAGAATCTCTGGCACACTTCCACCCATGACAGGCTATGGTGCTGTTTCCCACAAGTGGACTGTGGAAGCAGTGAGGGAATTAAAAATGCAACTGGGGGGTAAGTCCACAGGGAATGTCAGAACCCTGGAGATGGAAGAAACTTAAGTCCTTAATTCATGGTGTGGAAGAGAGGCAGCCTCTACACAGACTCCCTGCCTCAGTCTATCAGTGATCAACAAACTGCTCTGGCATTCAGTGAGAGAGATGTTGGAATCCGTTTGCCATAGTGTTACTGTTTCCTACAGATGTAAAGTACCCCAAATACACCACCAAACAGATGGTCAAGAAGTACACTATGTTTCAGAACAGAAAGTTAAACCTTACACATGGTCCCAAGAAGGATAATTTACTTGTAATCAAGTGGCTTTAAAGAAAGTCTTTTTAGAAGATGTAAGTCTCAAAATAATTAGACACTTTCTGAATTAACAAATATTCTTCCATGTGTAATTGCTACTGGAGGAGTACTTTTTAACAGTATTATATATTAACAAACAACTTGGATTCTATCAAAACATTCATCTTGGTAAACCTTCACTTCAGTATCATTTGAGGAGGGAGGATAAAACTGGTGATTTGGCATCTTCCCACACCCAACAAGTTGACTGCATCAGCAAAGCCTCCCTTTGTGTAAAATTTGCATGCTTTGTATTCAGGACAAGCACTAATTTTTGTTAAGAAGAGTCTCAAGTACAAATCAGACTATTCTGGACACGGTTTGAACATCTCACATCTTAATTCAGGTCACTTACAAGTTCTTTCCCATGTCTGATTGAGTGTCCCAGTTCTGTGGCTAGGTTTAAAAGGAAACAAACACAACCACTTCCAATGGCAATTCAAAGTACAGAAAACTCAGGGAGCACAGAGCCCATACCTGATGCTGCTCATACTGCCTGTCTCCGAGCCAAGCTTGCATCGCTCCAGCTGGCTGGCCACGATCTGCCGTTCAGCCTCCAGCTCTCGGGTCAGCCTTTCAAACTGCAATTCCTGAAAGAAACCCACCAAAAAGTTGAATGGTAGCATCTATATGAAACACAAAGTTTAGAACCAAAATGACAGGATGACAGATGGAGAAAATAAGATTTTTTTTCAAGGATCAACTTTGAGAAACAAAGGCTGTTGCTGTATAATAAGGCAAGGGCTTGAAAATTAGACAGATTTGTAAGACACTGACCCCAAGACGCTGATATAAGCTATTAATTATCTGTTTCATCATGTTTAAAATGGGCTAAAATAATAATTTCATAAATAGAAAGTGAGAATTCAGTGAAATACGTAGCTAAAGCACTTTTCTTAGATATTTTACTTACATTTTTATCCTGTTGTTTAACAAGAAAAATTATAAGAAGTCCCATATTTAAGAAAAAAATTTAAGTTATTATTTTTCAATTTCATGTTTAACTATTTCAAAAACTAAATTATCTGCACAATTATACTTCGGGAATAAGAAAGGAAAAACATTATTGTAACCTAAAAGTAGAGTAGAAGTAGATTTTTTTTGAAAATTAAAACCTCTCTCCAGGCAGTGGTAGTGCGCACCTTTAATCCCAGCACTCAGGAGGCAGAAGCAGGCAGATCTCTGGGAGGTCATGGTCAGCCTGGTCTATAGAGTATATTCCAGGATAGATTCCAAAGCTATACAGAGAAACCTTGTCTCAAAAAACAAAAAAATATTTTGTGGAAATTATGGTCAGCCTGGTCTATAGAGTATATTCCAGGATAGATTCCAAAGCTATACAGAGAAACCTTGTCTCAAAAAACAAAAAAATATTTTGTGGAAATTTTGTTGATAGGGTTTTTATATCACAGTTGTGATAATTCTTTTAGTTTTATTTAAAAAATACCCAAACCAAAACCTATTGTTCATAAAAGTGGAATTTTTTTAATATTGGCATTATTTGGAGATTCAAGTACAAGACACATTGCCAATGAGAGACCGCTCTTCCTACCACAGTGGTACAGCTGAGAAAGCATGTTGGTCAAGTTCAGTCTTTCTTCTAAAACTCTGAATGGTACAAATGATTTCTGGTACAAAGTGAACATGAAGACCCCTGTTGGATGAATCTCTGACCCATGGCTTGGCCTCCTCTCAAAAGATCTATTTCTTTGGAATTTCCTCCTCACAGAAACATCCAATTTCTTATTTCTAGAATTTCAATATATATTGTGTCTTAAATCTGACCATGCTACAGGAAACAAAATTATACTTTTGTATTGAACATACCTTTAAAGCAATGAACTTAAAGACCACAAAGGGTTGTTCTCAGCCAGATGGAAGTCTGTGATTTGTGTTTAAATTACTGTATTTCAGCTTCCCCACAGAATACTACTATGGTGACACAGCCCAACAATCTAATCCACAAAATCAAGTGGCACACACTTAAGACATGCAGCTTGCTTGCAGATCTTCCCATAGTATGCTTTCTTCATGCCATTCCAACAGTCAGGAACAATGAAGACAGTTAATGGTCCGGGTCCGTGGGAGACAATGTTGTTATGAGTGAAGGAGACAGTCAGTTGCCAAAAGTGATGGGAGACACTCAACAGTCACGACCATGGGAAACAGTATCTTGGCCAAGAGTGATGAAAACAGTCAATGGCCAAGAATGACAGAGATATCAATAGCCATGAGCAAAGAGAGACAACCAAATGTTGGGAGTGATGGGAAACAGCATCAAGGCAGGGATTGACAGGAGACAGTCAATGGTCAGGAGGGATGGGAGACCATCTATTGTCAGGAGACAGTGGCAAATTTTCATTTGAAAACTGCATTATGAACAGAGGGTAAGAACTTCAAGCATTTGGCATCCCTTTAAATAGATACAACATCTACCTTTCTGATGAACATCTTTGAATATTTCCTATATTGTATGTTTTTAAGAGGGAAGATACTTTGAAATGTACAAGACTTGAATATATCTTTATTTTACACTATCCTTTTTTAATTTAAAATTTATTTGTTGAGAATTTCATGCATGAGCACTACATCTGCATCATTTCTACTCTTCTTTCTCTCTTCCAACATTTGTCATGACCCCTAACTTCTTCTCAAATTACTGATCTCTTCTTTATTCACTATTGTTAAATACGTATGTTTAAAAATAATCTGCAAAGTCAATCCAAAGTTGCTCATTTGTATGTGTGTTTAGGGCTGACCTATGCCACCTTTGTAATTTGTCCAAAGGATTTAACATCGTATCACACAGATAATTGCTCAGCCATGTTCATTGCTACTATATGCACAGTAACTAGGAGATGGAAACAACCTACATGTCCTATAGCTGAGAAATGGATCGGGAAAATGTGGTACATGCACATGAGGGAATACTATTCAGATGTAAAAAAATGATCTCAGTTATAAATGTACTTTTCCATAATGTTTCTCTGATTTACACTCTCTGATCAAAATTTTATAAAAGTTTACCTTTGCCTTGCTTTTATAACATTATAGGTACAGTATTTTTCTTTCTGCCTTTAAGATAGTTTTCTCCATCATCAATTATGTGAGATTCGATAATGTTCTTTGACATAATATTTACTTAGAATTCACTGAGCTGATTAGATTTGTGAATTGTTAGCTTTCATTATATGCAAGAAAAAATTAATCATCTTTGTGAATGTTCTTCACTTCATGCTTTCCTTCAGTGAGAATACAATATGTTACTTAGAACTAACCCTCAACTCACAGATTGTTTAATTAATTTTCCTTGTGCTTCATTTTGTGTCTGTGGTGTTTTTGGTATATCCAAGTTAAATAATCTTTTCTTCTGCATTGTTCAATATTTCATTAATTATTCCCAGAGTATTTTATCTCAGACTCATGTAAACAAAAAAAAAACCCAGAAACTGTATCCTCCTGTGTCTTCAGATGGTTCTTTCTCTGTCCTTTAGTAACTTTTGTACTCAGATTCTCTTCTCTACTCTCTGTTAAATTAGAGTCTTTATTCTCAAAGAAACCCTTTTAAAATATATGAGCCTGGGAACCTCAGTGGCATTTGTATGTTTTCCCATCACTGTTTCTGTCTTCCTGTATCATAGACAGTTTGATCATAGACAGTATCTTCCCTTTCCCATGAAAATGGCTCATGAGGAAGGCTATTTCAGCCACTCGATGGATGCAGAAACAGTTGGGATATAACCACCCTATCCTTGCATACCCTTATATCTAGATTAACAGCTGAGCTTCAAAGAGCTGCAACTGATGGGACAAGTAATAGACCATTCGGTGGAGGGTTCATTTTCCCTTGACCAAAATGCATCTGCATCTAGAGCAGCCACTATCTACCCAGAATGGAGGTGACCCTTAGGCCATGAGAGATACTACAAGGGTGTTGGGGGTGGAAAGATGACATGCTGAATTAGCATGATGTTTAGAGGGAGAGCAGACCTCTCAGGCCTGAATAAGCTTCCAGGTTCTTTTCAGAGTATGTGAGTTGCCAAAGCAATCAAGAAGAGAGATGACACTAGTCCGATCTGGAGACTATGTATGAGATGGAATGGAAAAAGAAAAGAACACAGTGAAACAGACAACACTAGACGTCTGCAGCTACATGGCACTGATTAGTTCAATGAAGAAGAGGCTGTCCTGAAATAAGACACAGGAAATGGATAGACTTGGAGAGCAGACTAGACAAAAAACATCAGGCAGAGGGGATCTAAAATAACTGTCTATTAAGACCTTTACCTGCACAGTCCCAGTAAAGAAGTAGTACACATGAGGCTCCAAAATGTGCAATGGGGAAACTGGCCAGAGACACCAGGATCTGATGAGAATATTGTGCAAGGGTGACAGAGAATGACCAGCAGTGAAGGACACTTTAAGAAATATAAAGTAATGCTGAGCATCCCTTTTCTCTGTTCCTCCAATATAGAGGCATTCATAGGGAACAAACATTTATTACAAACATCAGATCTATGACTCCAAGCTTATTAAAATGTACATGAGCAGACATAAATAGTCTTACTTTTAGAACAGCGCATCACTGACTCATATAATACATTTGGATTATTAAGAATATGATCATATAGTTTTATAAATTTGTCCTGAGGAGCTTGAATTAATAATTTATTTCCTTTAATTAAATGGGGTTTATTAAATGTTTTTTAAGTGTCTAAGTGCATATAAAGTCTCCTGAGGGGGCTTAGCTAGTCAGTATGAAAACTGAAATGAGAAAACCCATACTTCATCTAATTCCTGCAATAAATGTTTTATGTAGCACTGTGATGGACCATCACCTGGAAAGGAACAAACCTACTCGAGAATGGTGAAAACTGAGACAGAGTCACAAAGTGAATACAATAAATGTGCGATGCTTTTATTAGTATGGGAAGATGAACAGCAGATCAGACATTAGATCAGCAAAGAGAAGATAGACTGGACTCCAGAAGAGGAATTCTGTTTATGCTACAATGTGGTTTGCTTGTAGGAAACAAATGACATGAGATTCAAACCTCCTGCACCTAGGCTTGGCACTAGATGGAATGGGGAGGTTGTTCCCAAGCATGTCTGAAGACTTTCCATGTGTACTTAACATGCTGAGTTCTTTTCATTGACTTCTTTCTACCATGGAGAGGAAAATAATCCTGTTCACAGGGCCCAAAAGGACTCACTAGAAGTGCTGAGAAAGACAATTATGTGTTCTGATGAAGTGGGGGCAGGCCTGAGGATAATGAGTAGAAAGAACCAAGGATGATGCCTGTAGTCATACTACTGAAGACTTCAGGATTCTCCACAGTAACACTAAAAAGAACATGTTCCTCCTAGTGTGTATACTTACACGAGAATGGAAAAGCCACTGTATATATCCTATCCATCCTTTAAAAAGTAGGAAATTATGTCACTTGGAAAAATATAAAAATCTCCTTGAGAAAGTATCAAATAAAACACAGCAAACAAAATCTCATTTTTATGGGGAATCTGAAAGGAGAATGCTAGTTACCCAGGACTGTGTGCATGGCATTAGTGGATTAGTGGATCTGGTCAATGG